ACCCTAAAATAATACCCAAACTTTCTATAAAATCCTTCTATTAAATTCACTAAAGAACGATTCATAAATAATCTTTTTTTTCGTTTTGTATTGATTTTGTTTCTTGTGTAATTTTTTTTTTTGCAATTGAGGCTGCAATTTAGGTTTTAGTTTTTGTCTGTGCGTATTTAATTTAATTTTTTTTGTCGTTTTTACTGCATTTGACATTTGGTGACTTCTGCTTGTGCGCGTGTAATTTATGTGAGTTTTGGCCCGTGAAGTTTGCTTTTAGCCCGAGGACAATGCGCGAAAGTGTGAGATGAAGGGAAAAAATACACACAGTAGAGTAAGTCGCAGTAACTACCAACAAGTTTTATATGAAAAGACAGCGGACTCCTCTGGTAGGTGAAACTTTGTCGCATAAGTTTTGGCTGCTTGCCTCACATAAGTGCCTCTGCCTCATAGCTTCCAGCTTGCAGCTTGTGGCACAATCAGCTCAATGTTTGTTTGCAGTTGTCTTGTTCGGCTTGTTGTTTGTTTGCAGTCTTTGTTTGTTGGCTGCTCTTGTCGCAGCTCCTTGGGTAAACACACACACACTTCTGGAGGGAGTAATTCATATTCATTAGTTGCTCCATTGTGTCATTGTCCTGAAATTGTAATTCTCACCAGAAAGCGCTAATAATTAACTTTGTTGTTGGTCATTTGTTGAAGGAGCTGTGTGCTGACATATTACTAAATTATGATAACTATAAACCAGTAAGGGAATTAGGGTTGACTTGAACTAATCATCTCTTTAGATATATGAATTTAGTCTGTTATTTGTAGTACTTTTTGTAGCTTATTTAATTTTTTCTGAGCTATAGCTCATTGAGCATTTGTTTATTAAACCTTGTCAGTTCTTTTGCTGTTGTTTACATCAATTTAATTGAATTTCAGTTTTAGCTTCAAGTGGTAAGCATGTCAAAACAACAACGCCAAGTCGGAAAGTGCAAAACTTGTCAAATTTGGCGAAAATCTAATTAAATTAGCAGAGAAGAGGTAAATACTTTTACGACATAGGAAAATGGTTAAAGTTTTTCAACAGGTTATGAGGGTTTTATTTTTTAATTTTAAAGGAAAGAGCGGAAAGAGGTTTCTCTTTTTTTAACAAATAAAATTAATAAGAAATAAGATTCAGTAAATATGTTATTTGTTAATTATGGAATAACCTATTTATCAATTTAAACAAATTACCTTTAATTAAAAATCTCAAAGCAATAGAGTATTTCCTCTTATATAACTATACCCTTTCCATTTCCCTTTGCTTTTCCTGAAAGAAAGCCATTTATGTCAGTGAAGAGTTTAGCCAAAACAGTAAGTTTAGCCTCTGCCGAAGTCAAATTGAATTCCAAAACAAACTTCGTAGCCAAATGGCGAACACCCTCGCCCACGTGTAGTGTATAATAATCAGGATGACACACACTCTCTCTCACACACACAATCGGGAAGGGGGTGGTGGGGTTTTTGGGGGTGGAGAGATGCCAACTTTATTTAACTGTTTGCCAAGCTGTCAAGCGCTACCTAACTGCTAGTACACACTCAGATACACACACACGAAGCGGATTCCAGGTGATCCCAGGTATTGGTTTGGTTTTGGCTGCGAATTTCACTGGGTTGAGCATGGAAAATAGGAGAATGCAGCTGTGGGGGTGGGTGGGTGTGTGGGAAAGCCAAAAAAAAAAGAAGAAGGAAACGCGGAACATTTGCGCTCAACGTGTTTGCCTTTTGGAACGCTTCACGCTTCGATTGCAACGCAGGCAAAGGCAGAAAAGTAGGAGGAATTCAGGATGTGCAGGAGCCACTCATTTTAATCTTCCTGGAAAGGGTTTCAGGTAAAAACGATTTTTTAAAGGAACCGCAGATACCTTATACTTAAGATTATGATAACTTATTTTAAAGACTAAAGAGTTGTAGGTGTAAAAATCATGTGACTCTCTAATATTACAATCCTTTACTATATATGCAATCCTATTTTATTGTGAATATTATATTATATTTTTAATATATAATATATATTGAATTTATCACCCGTTATATATTACTATTTCAATTAAAATCCAAACGATATATACCCTTTTTAATATTCACATTTTCCCGGGTATTAAAACCCCAATTTGCCAACCAACATGAAGCAAACAGTGAGTATGAAGATAAGGAGAGTGTATATGTGGGGGAAAATGCAAAATTAAATTTTAAATATTTATAAACTACTGGGATGGTCACAGGGTATGGAGACTGGAGATGATGGAGCAGGTCCAAAAGGGATGGTTGGTAGGCCAATAAAAGGAATTTGCAATTGGTCTGATTGGCTTTTAATCGCAGCAGACAGTTTTTAATAAATATGCATAACCGTTTGCCAGTTCAATTGCAATACAGTGGGTGATCTTGTCGAATGAAACACTCAAAAGTATCTCGAATTAATGCCAAAAGGAATTAAGGGATTCATGGAGAAAACATAACCAATTTGCAAAGGAACTATCAGTAATTTTAAGCTTAATTTAGAGGCATTAAAAAGGAAATAAAGTATTATTTTCTGTACCTTAAAAATTAACATATTTATATTTATTTTAAGTTCACTGTATCCTTCAAGACCTCCCGTGTTTTTTCACAAAAAATGGTGGAGGGTTATCGGATGCAACTCCTTTGCGGAAACGGATGTTTCATAGCGAAGCGGAAGAAGACGCAAGGCGAAAGCCGAAGGAATCGAGGAATATTTATGATTTTGCCATAAAATCCTGTTGATATGTGGAAGGAAGCCTGTTTTTCCTTCCCCTCCCCTCATTTTCCACATTTTCCCCCCATCCTTTTTTCGGTTCTCGCACCTCGCTGCCGTTACTTATGCACATATGTATGTATGTAGCACGTGGCACGTAGCACTTGCACGGTTTCAGATCGAGATACAGATACAGATACAGATAGAGATACGCAATGCACACATCCTGCTACCATTGCACATTGTTGCCACATAAGAAATGCAATCGGGCCAACTGCAATTCCGTAAATCGAAGGAAAAATTTCCTAGACCCCAGCCCCCCATCAACATCTCTAGCAAAAGAGGAGGAGTGGCAATCAAACATGGCTGGAAAACTCAAAACTCATGCCAGGCACACGGGAAAAACAGTTGTTGACTGTTTGCAGGCATTGCCTCTATATTCCAGTTGGAGATCATTGCCAAGCCAGGCATCGGAGGAACATCATCATCATCATCATCATCAAGTTGGGAAAACGAGAGGAGAGGAAAACAACTCACAGGACACACACACTCCTCGTCATCGTCACTTTTATGGTGCTGTTTTGTCGCATTCACTGAGCTTATAAGCAGCTTCATATGAATGATATAATGCATTGCAAGACATTGGGAAATATTCTGTATAAATTTAGTATATATCATTTAAATATTAAAGATTACAATTTGAGATTAATTTTAAAAGAAATATTTCAAGTTTTGTATTTATTTTTAATATAAAATAGATACTACTCACAACTTATAATATGTATCTAAAAAATCTTTGAAAATGTTTTAAAAACTATTTTTTATCAGCTTTAATTCATCTGTATTTTGACTTTAAAGAATCACATTTTAAAGTTAGAAATTTCTTCTCTATCAGATCAGATTTCTTAAATTGTTAATTGTTAAAATTAATGGTTTAGTTATGTTGTTTTTTATCCAGGGAACAGATACCTATTAGTACGTATATTTTTTTATGACATTTTAATATCCCTTAAAAATCTTTACTTTATAAATATTATAAACACATTCCTATAATTTTTTCCAGTGCATGGGCTCAAGTCTAAAAGTGGCACTGCAAAAGGCTTGTTTATTTGCTGGCAAAATTGTGAAATAATGTGCAGCAATCAATTCCCAATACAGTGCCCTCTGATCCCTTCACCGCCGGCTGACTGAGTATGGAGGAGCCCCTGCCCCATGACTACCACCACCCCCCAATCGCATTTTCCACCCCCTCCCTGGACAGAGGAAATAGGGGGAAAAATGGTGTGTGCAGTGAAGTGTTTTGGAGTGGCAGCTGCCACAGAACCAAACTGCAACTGCCACAACTGTATTGGTTGGTACACCCCCTCATCACCATTCGATTACAGCCCCATCAATACCCTCCCCCCCATCATTTTCCTCTCGCTTTTCCCGCTCACTTTTTCCATCTCATATCCGTAGGTAACATGTTTGTGATGAATATGTTTACATCAATAACAAAAACTACAGTATGAAGCATCAATAATGAAGCGTTGCTCTGACTCCGCTTTTCCACCAAACCTTCCTCTCACTCTCTCTGCATTTTCCACCTACCTCCCTCTCTCACTGACTGCATTTTCCACTCCCTTTCGTCATCGTTTTCCTCCACCCGCCCACCGTCAGTCCGGAACACGTCAAAATGAGTTTACTTTGTGGTCTGATGGCTGCGATTGTACACAGTTCTCGTGGAGTATGAACCTTCGAGTATTGAGTACCCAGCATTGAGTATCTGACATTCTCAATCCAAGAACAACAAGGCCAACAGTTTTATAAACAAGGATTATTCCAGGGATATATATCCCTGATATCATGTGAAAGTGATTCCTTATGCCGTCTAATTGGGAGTTCTGTTTTGTTATCCCTAAATGATTACAGGATAATTTTGAGGGGAAATGCATAAGTAAATTATTGCAAATGGGTGGCAAAACAAAGAAGGGTACTTGTATTAATTACTCTAAAAAGCTCTTATGAAGAAAAGCAACTAAATGTCTAATTATTTGTTTATATTTTCCATACCATACCTATAAAACACTATAAAATTACCAAGGGGATAAACCTTTAATAATCTAATTATATTTGTAAAAATATTTGGGTATTAAGATTAAATATTAGTAAGAAGTAAAAAACAAAAGAAGTTAATATATGTACCTTCGAAAATGTATTTTTTTTTTTTGTATCTGATAGAAGTAATTTTTCTTATGTCCAAAAAGTAGTCATTGAGTTTGACTTCCTTACCAAATTAACATGTATTTGGTCAGTTGAATTCTACATCCCAAAGCAGTTACATTTATTCAAACACACACAGTTTATTACAGTAAAGTAAGTTTGAAAAATTAAATTAAGTTTTTAGAAGATGTGTAATTTATAACCCCATTCCAGAACACAATGGAGAAAAACGAAGTAAAGGGTATTTTAAAAGCACCCTCAGGTGCAATTAGTACAAATTTACCTGTAAGATCGGCCAAGTTCGATGAGGTGAACATTCTGGCCACATTTCACCCCACCAACAAGGACTATGGCCACATGATTATCGATGAGCCAAAGACACCATTTGTCTTCGATGATGCCATTCCGGAGGAGTTGGACATGAATGCCTTGATTGAGAAGTTGCAAGTCACTTCGAAAACACAAATGCCAGCATTTGGATTCGATGATGACTCCGATGAATCATCGGAGGAGGAAGAGTATCCAGAGTCGCTGGAGGATAGTGTTCGTCGATTGGACTTTGAGCGTCGTCGCAGGTTGCATTACAGGGAGTTCTACTCGGTACCTTTGGCTCGAAGTCTTATATTCGATGAATTTGGCTGTCAAAGTAGCTCCGAAATGAGCATTTCCCAGGAGACATCCTGCAATGCAAATATTAGAGAATCGTTTCCACCATGCGGTGAACGTACTCAAGTGGATAGCTCTTATTACATGGGTATCTCTACGGATAGCACTGCCGCTCAGGAAAATAGATTTAATGAGCTGGGCTTTGATCCCACGCAACCATGTAATCTAAAATTAATTGCAGAGATTGATGAACCGATGGCAGAATCACCGAAACTCAGCTCATTAAGTCGCCTTCAAAGGATGCCCTCGATCACATCGGAATCACATCAATATCTCAGGGTTCCGCATTCGAGTACTCGAGTGACTACTACGGATAGGTTACCCACCAGGGCATCAACATCCACCGTCAGGAATGAACCACCACCAGTCCGTATTTGCACCACCACCACCAATGTGGATTCCCAGGATCAAAGCAAAAAGAAAGGATCTTTATAAGAGCGCCAAGTCGATGTGTTTATTTCAATAAATTTATTAAGTTAAACATAATTGTATTTAAATTTAAATTTGGGAGAGTTCTCCACTTTCTTCTACTAAATTAATTCTTAGAAAATAATGGTTATTAGAAAACTTTCACATCTTGAAGCAGCATTCAAAGCATTTACATAAATTGAATGGAAACATCTCAAACTTTAACCAACCAATCGATTAAAATGCCTTTGAGTATGTTTATCACAAACCAAGTTCTTGGCTTAACTTAAGGACCAAACCTCTTAGTTTTGGCCTGGCTAATTGTAGAGCTGCTGATATGATTATCTCTTATTCACCTACAGTTTCTCCATTTATCGGCACTCCGGCTGTCCAAGTTCATTTTGCTGGAGAATATTTAATTACAGCCTTACCAGACCGGACTGTAATTACCATTTGGTGAGAGAAACAGATACAATGGATGCCAAAAGGAGGCCAAAGTTTGCCTAATAACTTGTTTCGGCGTTTTGCCTCGTAATTGAAAATTCCTTTTGACAGTCTCAAGTCCAGCCAAGAGTTTTCCTTCCGGCCAATCGGGTACACGGCCATTGTCGTTAACAAATTCATTTTGATTTAATGTCTCAGCTATTTCAATTGTATTTTGAATCAGATTGTGCGCCAAGACTATTACACCTGCCCCAACAACAACGACCTGATATAATTATGCAAAATGTTTAATTTAGCCATTGAAATCCGGTTGAGTTTTAAGTTTTATTATTATTAAGCTTTTGGTCAGAGCGATTGCAAATGAAAGAACAACACAAAAACCGGATAAGAGAGAGAGAGAATGTGGGTAAAACTTCATGAATATTTATAGAGGTGATGTTATCAATGAATGGATTTCAATTAGATTTATTTGCAAAATACTTTGCAATTAAAGGTGACGATAAGATGGCACTGAAAATTCAAGCATTTTAAATAAATTTTAATTAAAAAAACTTAAAGACAATTAACTTGCATCACTCACAACTTGATTCAATATTTACAATTTATTTAATAACATTATCGGGTAGAAATCCTCTTTTGTTTGGCAATCTTTTCCATTTGCCACAGACATTTAATTGTTGATCCGTTTTTCGCCAGGACTCTTAACAGCATTTAAACTGGGGGGAAAGAAAACACTTAAATTGGACAAACAACACGGATGGCTTAACCCGCTGGCAGTTGTACTTAACCCATTGAAGCCATTTAATGCGATCTTTGCCATTTGCTTGCCAGAAATGATGGCCAAAGTGAAATTTAAGTTGCCTCCAATTGATGGCCGCAGCATCTTTGTCGCCGTCGGAGTCGCCGGCTCCGGCTCCGGCTCCGGAATCGAGTCCAGCTCTTGCTGCCATCTCCGGATCCATCTCCATCTCCGGATCCGTCTCGGTCTCCGTAACAATTGCCGTGTACATTTCATTAAGTGCATAAGCCCGTCCGGCTGTCAGAGCTTCCCTCTTCGTCCTTTTTTCTTTTTTTTTTTGTGTTTTGTTCGCTTCCCTGCGCTTTCCTCAGTTCGTGCGGAGCGTTTTTAAGCCGGAAAATTATTTTTAATGCTATTTACACTCACAAATGAAAATGCAAGCGCAAATAAAGGCCGCCAGCAGTCACGAACTGGCCAACAACTTAACTGGCATAAATGCTACTGTCCGAAGAAACACGAAATCGGAAGAGTTTTTGTTAAGGAATCTGAAGGTACCTCTTAAAGTATTTGGAAATAGTTTGAATAATAAATAAATACAAAATATTATATACATTATCTTGAAATTTTGTTTCTAGTTACTAAAGGTTTAAGGTATAATCTTTGTAATTCTATTTTTAGAGTTTACCCTTATTGTATTTTGGCTGGATATTCTAATTATTGTAAGGAGCTTGTAAATTAGTAGAGGAATCATTCCGACCCTATAAATCATATATATTCTTGATCAGCATCAATAGGAAATTCTTTCTAGATATGTGCCTTTAAAAAAATATATTTTTAAAATTTATTTTTTTTTTTATTAAAATTAATATATTTTTGACTTAGATATGATCAACTTAAAATTGGACTTTCCAACCAATTTTAAGGGTATACAAACATCGGTTTCCTTATGTTTTGCTTCCATTTCCTGTTCTAATTTCCTTATTAGAATTATTTTATTAAGTAATAAATTCCTCTTCAATATTATTACATTTTTTAATTAACTCTCCAACTGACAATATACCTTCTCCATGTTCCATAACTCTCCTTCAATCCAACTCTTTACTGGGTATTGAAACAACAGAAAACCAGAGAAAACTGGACAAGGAGCTGTATAGACACAGGACGAGGGCAAGAAGGATACGATGCAGCCTTTAAGCTGCTGCATACTTTCCGGCTGTGGACCTCGACCTGAACGCGTGTCGCTAAAAAAGTTCGGCTAAATATTTGCGAAAGCATTTTCGCTATTTGCGATGGCATTTCGTGTGGCATGCGGCGTCTCTCCCCACCCCTGCTGCAAGTGCAGCACGCAAGGAAAACCCAAAGGATTTCCACAAGAGATGGCAAACGAGCTGCACTTGCCACACTGCGGCATCAATTTTCATTTTGATAAATTATAAAATGGCCCAGAGCCGGCACCCAGAACACATCCTTTTCCCCCGAAGGCTAAATGGATTGCCTGGCACTGGCCACGGCGTTAACCCATGACAGCAGCACCAGCCTTGAAAATTGAATGTCGATGGAAAAACGCTGAAGGGGAAAACCTTCCTTAGATGTTTAAATAAATGAGGTATGAGTTAGGAGAAGAGGAGAGCTTCCGATGGCGATTTTATCGAGATATCAATCATCGTAAAGGCAATTGGGCTCTTAAGCAATTTCGCTGTGGTTTATTGAATTAATGGTCCAACTTTTTAGCTAGAAATGGGGACTTTAACAATCTTTATTTTATGGTTATGATCACAAAGTTGATTATAGAGTTTTTTTCTGAACTTTGAATATGAAGATGATTAAGAATGATACAGTTCTCATTAAATCTTAAACGTTTCTTCATTTATTGATTATCATTTAACAGGACTTCATATTTTTATTTTTATTTTTTGAATACGGAAATTGCTAGTATATCAAGCTAGTGACATTTTTTAATTGATTATATTCCCCGCCTTTTCCAGCTAATAAAGATTTGTATAGTTTGAAGTTGGTCGATTTTGTTATGCACCTGGTCAAACAAAAAGAAAAAAAAAGAAAAAACAAATACTTGGGGTTGGTCAGGATTCAGGATCGGGAGTTAGAATTCTGGAATGGGGGTGGCTCGAGCCAGAGGTCAGGGTCACGCAGGTCACCCCTTTTTTCTATACCAACTTCTCCTAAACAAATATGGAAATGCACGCAAGCCAGAGGCAAGCACGTAGCCAGGATAAAGACCAGAAAAATGTCCTTAGTCCTCTCCCGCCTTCTACTACTCCCTCCATTTGTGTTTATTTGTAATCAATTAAAGGATAAGGCAATCTATTAGAAAGCCAGCTGTCCGCTCCATCATGATGGCGTGACTGGTTTTGGGTAATATACAGCAGCTGAAGGAAGTTTAGCCTTTCTCACACCACCGTATTTTTTGTCTGCTTAATTGCTGAGTTAAGCACGCATGAATATATTAATATTTTGGCACTAATAAGGCATATTATGAAGGCAATAAATATTTAAATAATTGATGTTCATGATCGAAGTGATTTTAGATGGATTTGAAGAAGGTACTGCAAAATTTCATAAATATGTTTAAGTATTTGCAATTTTCATACCATTTTCGTTCACCGAAAGAATACATATATGATACACTAGATTTTCAATGCTCAACTCACGATTTATTTGAGAAACATTACAGCAATTAAATTTAATTACATTTACATTTTCATTTACCTATTCCATTATTTTATTTGACGATCACCATCCACTCGTTGTTGTTGTGGTAGAAGAAGTGGTATAGCTTTGATTGTAGTTTCCGCCGCCATTTCGATAATTACCATTATAACCTGATCCATTTCCATTATAATTGCCTTGCCAATTACCAGATCCTCCCATTCCATTTGGTCCTCCCATTCTATTTGGTCCACCCATACCATTTGGTCCACCCATACCATTTGGTCCACCCATTCCATTTGGTCCTCCCATTCTATTTGGACCACCCATTCCGTTTCCGTTGCCACCGCGATTACCCATTCCACCTTGTCCCATTCCTCCGGGTCCCATTCCATTGCCACCCATTCCGCCAGGACCCATTCCGTTTCCGCCACGTCCTCCCATACCATTGCCACCCATTCCTCCTGGACCCATACCATTTCCACCCATTCCGTTGCCATAGCCTCCTCTACCACCCATTCCACCTGGACCCATTCCATTGCCACCCATTCCGTTACCATTACCTCCCATTCCATTGCCACCCATTCCGTTGCCATATCCTCCTCTTCCACCCATTCCATTTCCACCGCCCATTCCTCCGGTGTATCCCCCACCCATGTTGCCACCCATGCCATTTCCCCCACGTCCTCCCATTCCATTCATTCCGTTGCCACCCATTCCGTTGCCACCGTTTCCATTACCTCCATTCATTCCATTTCCTCTACCCATTCCGCTTCCACCCATTCCGTATCCTTGTTGATTTGCTTGGCGTTTTGTACGATCCTCAGAATCTGTTTTAATTTAAGATAAATAGTTGCTTAAATTAAAAAGAAAATAAAGTTAACCTGAGTTCGAAGAGTATTGATCCTTTGCTTCACAAGTAGGATATTCTCCGCATTCATCGCCCTCACGCTTTGATCCTGTACAGATCTCCTTTGATATAACACATCTCTCCCCTGGCGCACACGAAATATCCCGACAATCACGTCCGTATTCTGTTTAAAAATGAATTAATTTATTTCAATTTACTTTTACTTTTTCATAAAAATTTACTGACTTTTATATGCCTGAACATTTGCTGTAGTTGCAATTATTAAAAATATCCACAAAATATTATTCATTTTTTCAAACGCTTGCTGTTAACGGAAAACTCTCTCTGAATTCAGCTTTTTATCATCCCCATTTTTAT